TTACTCCAAATGGCCTCCCCGCACTGCTGCACTAAGTTCAGGTCCTAACACAGGGACCGCCAGGGGGACTCACTCCAGCTGTAGCAGTCACAGTCACACAGCAGCCATACCAGCACAGCCAGTGATGTGCAAACATTGCCACCTTCCTCCCACCACCCCCAGCAACGGAGTGAGCTCCATCTCCCATTCAGACATCCTGATTCCAGCGGGACAGAGGTTAGGAGTGCAAATCCCAGGACTGGGCAGCCTGGGTACAAATTTTTAACGGCATCTTCCACCCTTGTGACAGGGGTGAGCATCTTGTGCCCTCGGAATCACGCTCATCTCATGGAGCAGGTTTGATGCATCGCTCTAGACTCACTAAAGCTCACCCTCAGTGAGCCTCATGCTCACCCGAGATTGGGGGTACACGCTTCCCTTCATCTTGTTCATTCCTTCAGGTGTTCTACCTGCTGCCCTTCCGGTGAAGAAGTGGAGGCTCAGAGAGGTACAGGGACTCGCCTAAGGTCACTCCCCCGTAAGAGTGACCGGGCAGGTGCCCAGCCCTGGGCCTTCACATGCATCAGCGTCTGAGCTCCCACGATGCTCTGCATGGAGCCAAGCCGCCAATCTAACCACCCAGCAGCCCAAGTCCAAAGACGGAGCAGGTTTCCAAGGAGAAGGAGGAGAGGTGTTGAGAACATGCAGTTATTTACAGGATGCCGTGTGGGCTGCCGAGGCGGGAGGATGATGTCCCGAGGTGAGGAGGGAGTGGGAGACACAGGGTCCTCAGTTTCCTCACTCACAGAGCGGGTTGGATAAAACACCAGCCTCTAGAGAGAGGTGGGGGAGCCCCATGGCAACTGTGCACGGCCACACTGCATGGGGAATACTGGACAGGGGAAGGGCAGCAGTCAGGAGGCTGTGGTCCTTGTAGATGGGATGGGGCTAGGCCTGTGTGAGCCTCAGCATCCCCACCAGGGATGGAGGAACCTGCCTAGATGCCAATGTAAGTCCTTAGCTGTTCTAACTAAAGCAGTTTGTTAAAGAAACCGATCAGATCTGTGAGGTGACAGACCTTGGGTATGGGGACAGAGAACTGCAGTAGGATCCCTCAGAGGATTTTACCTGCCAGTTAAGGCTCCTTTGGTCACCTCAGGTCTCTCCCGGCAGGTGTGAGGTCATACGTGAAACATTTTTTTCCATCACACAACTGCCACCTGGCTCCATTCTACAGTCCTGGGCACAGAGCTTGTTCTTTGTAGCTCAGGGGAGTGCACTGCCAAACAAAACTTCCAGCCCCAGGCCTTCCCACAGGCCTCTCCCATTGCTCTGGTCATGTTCAAATGTCATTTCCAGGAGAGTTCCCTGAACATCCCTAGCTCTCAGCATCCGGCTTCATTTTTGCCAGAGCGCTTTGCATTCTGAACTGTCTTTCCATGTATGTAGTAACTGTTCATCCGCTCCCACCAGGAGATGTGCCAGACCCAGGATCCCGCTACACCTCACTCGTCCTGTATTCCAATCCCGAGCCGTGTCTGGCCCAGAGCGAGTGCTGATCTTTCCCAGCAGAGGCCTGATGGTTAATCCCAGGGGTTTCCACTGCGTGAGTTCCATGTGCCAGGGTCTGTGCTCATATAAACACCTGTAGAAAGTTCATAAAGGGGCTGGAGCTCTGCTATAGCAGCTAAAACTGCTCCCTGTGGCACCAGAATCTTATAGGGGCATTTGTCCAAGTCCCAGCTGCTCACATCCCATCCAATTCCCTGCTAAGGTACCTGGGAAGGCAGTGGGAGATGGCCCAAGTCCTGGTACCCGCATGGGAGACCCAGAAACACTTGCCTCCTTGCTTCAGACCAGGCCAGCTCTGGCCATTGCAGCCATTTGTGGAGTGAACCAACGGATGGAAGACTTATCTCTGTCGCTCGCTTTCTCTCTTTTATTAAATCTATCTTTCAAGTAAATATTTAAAGAAGAAGAAGAAGAAGAAAGAAAGAAAGAAAGAAAGAAAGAAAAAAAGAAAGAAAGAAAGAAAGAAAAGAAAAGAAAAGAAAAGGAGAGTTCATTGAAAATGAATTTACAAGTATGAGTTTTTCTTGGTGTGAATTTTTCTCCATAATTAGTGGAAAGTATGTCTTCTGGGAGAAAAAAATACTATGCATTTTGAAAACAACTTTGCAGGAAAATGAGCTCATATTTCCAGTTCCATGTTTCTACAAACCTGTTGATGTGCCCATTGTTCCATCTCAGCCCTGCAACAAGCCTGCAAGAAGAGAATCAATGCCCTACTTTGACCATGCGGACATAGACCCAGAGCTGAAGCCTGACTTCGCCCAGAGGCCTTCACTGAAAGACTGGCCAAGGTCAGAGCATAACCCGGAGGCTCCTGCCACAGCCTGGCAGGGGAGCGCTCAGTAGAAAGGTTCTCTCTGCAAGGGAAGGGGAATCCTGCGCAAAGATCTTACTGGAGTCCCAAAATCTCAATGCTGAGAGTAGGAATGCTGAGCTGTGACCCTACAGGGGAGGGAACCTGCTCTGCCCCAGCTCACCACTTCCTGGCAGTGGCCCCAGACAGTGGACCGGCCTGAGATGCAAGCTGGCCAGTGAACAGTGAGCAGAAAACTATGACTTCCAGGTGACCCATGAGGACCCAGGAGGAAGCATGGACTACTCCACAGGGGCTGGCTGACCCAAGGGGGCTTCATGACAGGCAGGGACCAAAGAGACAGGAGGTACCACAAGGATGGGGTTGCCACTGCTAAGCCAGCAAGGGCAAGAAGGGAACCTGGAGAAGACCCACCCAAGACAAGGCTGGCTCAAGAGGAGCTGTCGGGGTCCACATGGTGGTACAGCACGCTAATCCTCTGCCTATGTTGCGATTACCTTATATGGGTGCCGGTTCGTGTCCCAGCTGCTCTACTACCCATCCATCTCCCTGCTTGTGGCCTGGGAAATCAGGAGAGGATGGCCCAAAGCTTTGGGACCCTGCACCTGTGCGGGAAATGTGGAAGAAGCTCCTGGTTCCCAGCTTCAGACTGGCACAGTTCTAAAAACCCAGTCAGAAACCCCAGGAAAAAGGGAATCTATTGATTGGTCTATGTGTGTCATCACCTGTGGCTCAGAATAGGATGGGGACAGCAGAAAGAGAGAGGAGCTAAGTGAAATAACAGAAGGTAGCTGAAAGATCGCTCACGAGCAGGGGAACCCCCAGGACCCTCAGGCTCCCTCTTCTCATGGTGCCCTGAAGCCACCTGCAAAGGTGGTGGCATCAGGTCTCTCGGCCTTTTGGCTAAGATCAAGTGTGGAAGTGGCAGCCATGACGAGATGGCACAGCCCGCAGGGGTGCTGACCGTTACAACAGGAAACAAAAGAAGGCAAACCTGTCACAAGCTCAGGGTAGACATCGAAGGAAAACAGGGAAGACAAAGGCCTCTATTGGAAAATCGAAGCCCAGTAAAGGCAGGGAACTCTTGAAAGGATGCTATGCAAAGACACCCCAGAAGTCACCTTGGGAAGGCCCGCAGGGCCCAGAGTAAGAGGTCTCTCAGGTGCATCAAACGAAAAAGAGGGCCCATAAAGTCCCAGCAAGGTGCTTGATGATCACAGTGCCAGGAGAGAGCTCGGAGATGAAAAGGAGCTTTCTGGGAGATCTGAGGACACCTCGGCTGCAGCCGGGACTGGGGAGGACCTCAGGGAGAGGCCCACTTCCAAGCAGTCTTTTGGAAAGGAGTGAGCCAATGGCACTGCAACCGACACACTCGACGCAGACAAATCACCAGGGACGGACGGCTGATGCCACTCAAGGATGAAATTGCAGGACTGTTGGCCGAAACAGTGCATACAATTGAGGGGATGTGGCTGGGAGGCAGTGACTTTGAGCCCTTGTTCAGGCTTTCTCTACTTTAGTTCCACGACCACAGGGACCAGCTGCGGCAGATGGGAGGGGGCTCCGAGGCTGAGGAGGGTCAGTCCGTTGTGAAATATGAGTATAAAAGGAGGGAGTCCTTCCAGGGTCAGAGAGGAAATGCACAGCTCCCAAGCTACAGATTCCAGCAGGTTCCTGTCAAGCAGCTGGAATGGAAAGCTATTCCAAAAGCAACTGAAATAGACAGGTGGCATTTCTCGGCGCACAGAACCGCCAAGTCCATAACAGATGATGCTCAAAGACACATGGGGGCCTGGGCCTTCAGACACTCGCATCAAAAATTTGTCTGCTACTGTCCTGTAGCTTGGTGCTCCCCGGTGTTGGCACCAACCCTTCCCACCCCTGTGCCCACCGCAGGATCTCCCTGGGTGGAGGCGAAACAGTCAACAGCTGCTCAGCCTCACATCCTACCTGCCTTTGCAATCCCTTAGAAACAACCTCTACCTGACAAGAGCCCCAGGGAAGACACTCATTGGCTCAGCTTGTGCCATTCGCTATCTCCACCACCAATCAGTGTGCTAGGAGCATAGCCTTGCTCTAATTATCTGATTAGGGAATCTGTTGCCCACTCACAGAAGTGGGGCATGTGTCACCCCCATCGAGATTATAAAGACCACGAGTGGGGGAGGGAAGGGCTCCAAAGAGATACCAAACAAGTAAAAATATAGCACATCATAGCCAATGACACCAAAAACATCCCAGTGCTAAAATGCCCACAGTGGCAGAAACAAAGCATGGTGGGGATTCGGTGGGATTGTGTGAACAGGTTGAGAAATGCAAGAAAAAAAAAATCCTTAATAGGGCCCATGCAGATGAGGATGCCTGAGTCACTGTGCCCAGTGACCAGGAAGGGGCTCAGTTGAAAAGTTCTACCCCTGAGACGGGGAGGGCTCAGAGCCAAGACAAGTCATGATGCCCCCAAGCAGGTGGCACAGTGCTGGGCATGTTTCTCACCTCTGCCAATCTTCCTGAGCCACTCGCAGGCAGAAATGATTCACGGATGAACCACACCTGGTTGGTGCTTGACCTCACACAGGTCCGTGAGGGGAGGCCACGGGAGACGTCTACTCTATAACAAAGCAACTATCAGAGGGCACGCTAAGTGGGAGAGGAGGCACGGTCAGCCAATCCACAAGAGGCACACAGAGATTGAGACTTGGTGCAGCAGGCCGCTGTGAGTCACTGAAGACTGACCGAGTAGGAGAGTGTCATGAGCAGAATGAAGCTTCGCCGTCTTAATGGAGCCAGAGAGGCCGAGTGGAAAGTCACAGAGATGATCAAAGGGCTGGCGAGGGGTTTGTGGAGGGAGACGGGAGAGGGAAGACTGGAAAGCTGAAGGCCAGGGGAGCCTTGATCAAAGGCAGGCAGGCAGGGGAGGACACCATGCCCGACTGACGCTGGACCAAGGCAGGGCTGGCGTGGCACTGCAAAGATAGGGAGGACATCGCTTTGTTGTGCACCTGTTGGGAAAGGTGAATGTCATGCACACACAAATGTCATTTATGTAACCGTGACCCTGCCAGGGGCGTGTAGGTTGGTAATAGGGACTAAGTCACCACCACAGAGGTCCTGCTGGGGAGCTCGGGCACAGTCATCACAAAGACAGGCCAAGGGCCACTGGGGGTGTCCCCAGTCACTGCATGCAGCTGCCGTGGGGCCTGGTCTTCTTGGGGACAGGCCCTGGTCTTACTGTGTCCCAGTCCTCTCCCCTGGCCTGTGTGTGCTGTTCGTTGGAGCTGTGGCTGCTTCCTCTCTTACAGCAGACAGAAAAGTACGTACTAGTGCACTATTGCAGCCCCAGAACCTTAAGCAGACTCTGGCATGGAATGGGTGCCGAGAGCAAAGGGTCACCCACCAGTGGCCATGGGAGTTGCTTCCAGAACACCCTTGGACATCAAAACCTGCAGTTGCTCATGCCCCATTTTAATGGAGCAGCATTGGGGCCTGGCGCAGTGGTCTAGCAGCTAAAGTCCTCGCCTTGAACATGCCAGGATCCCATATGGGCGCCAGTTCTTATCCCAGCAGCTCCACTACCCATGCAGCTCCCTGCTTGTGGCCTGGGAAAGCAGTCGAGGACGGCCCAAAGCCTTGGGACCCTGCACCCATGTGGGAGACCTGGAGGAAGTTCCTGGCTCCTGGCTTCAGATCAGCTCAGTTCCAGCTGCTGCAGTCACCTGGGGAGTGAATCATTGGAATGAAGATCTTCTCTGTATATCTGACTTTGCAATTAAAAAAAAAAAGTGCAATATTTGCACAGAATCCACATTCAATTGCCTGTGCACAAATGACTTGCAGTATAGGTGCTAAGTTAATAGTTGTACTGCCGTTGAGAGGATAATGACATGCAAAAAGGTCTAGAAGTGTCCATTTCACACTCCATTGTTTTTTAAAGATTTATTTTTATTATGTTTTTATTGGAAAGGCAGATATACAGAGAGGAGAGACAGAGAGGAAGATCTTCCGTCCGATGATTCACTCCCCAAGTGAGCGCAACGGCCGATGCTATGCCGGTCCGAAGCCAGGAGCCTCTTCTGGGTCTCCCACGCGGGTGCAGGGTCCCAAAGCTTTTGGTCGTCCTCGACTGCTTTCCCAGGCCACAGGCAGGGAGCTGGAAGGGAAGCGGGGCTGCCAGGATTAGAACCGGCGCCCATATGGGATCCTGGGTGTGCTAGGCGAGGACTTAACCACTTGCGCCACCGCGCCGGGCCCCACACTCCATTTTTTTAAAGATTTATTTTTATTTGAAAGTCAGATTACAGAGAGAAGGAGAGATAGAGACCTTCCATCTGCTGGTCCATTCCCCAGGTCATTGCAACAGGCAGTGCTGAGTCAGTTCGAAGCTGGAAGCCTGGAGCTTTTTCCAGGTCTCCCATGTGAATACAGGGCCCCAAGAATTTGCTTTCCCAGGCCATAAACAGGGAGCTGGATGGCAAGTGAGGCAGCCAACACACAAACGGGTGCTCCTTTGGGATGCTGACTCTGCAAGGTAGAGGATTAGCCTGCTACACCACGATGACCCCATTCATGCAATGTTTTAAAATATTTTTGGATCCATGGTCAATTGAGCCCATGGATGCAGCAGACCCACTGCACTTGCTCAGGGAGTGAAGCCTTCCATCTTGATGCAGGGCAAGGCAAACTGGCAGGAAAAGCAGCCAAGTGGAAAACGCAGCGGTGGCTAAATGAAAGGGCTCATATGGAAACACGCAGGGAACTCCTGACTCACTCCTGACCCGCCTCCACCCACCCAGAACCAGCTTCTTGAGGCTCCCACTGAACACGGATGGTCACAGGAAAAGCAAGTGGCATGAACAGAGCAGACCAGGGTGCTGCAATGGGTGCACATGAGCTAGGCAAAAGCTCAGAACCACAACGCCATGGCTCCAGGAAGGGTACATCACCATCAGGTGACCAATCACCAGTAGCTAGTGAAGGAGTCGGGGACTGGTCGTGAAAGACGTAAAAGTCTGTTTAAAGATGTTGAACTTTTTGTTGAAGGAAATGAGCAGGCACTGAAAGGTCTTTCATCTGTCAAGATGAAAAAAAAAAAGAAAAAAACAACCTGTTGTAGCCAGAATTCAGTGTCTGTAGCCCTAAACTGTTCTCTGAGGCCAGGGAAGGGTGGGTGGGAGCTGGGAGGTCGGGGGAGGGGGCGGCGCGGCAGGGAGGGGCTGTGTGTGCAGATCAGCACAGATCACACACACCCTGCCCCCATTGAGTGATTTCCCCTGGGATATACAGTTGGCCTCTGTATCCATGGGTTCAACCAAATGTGAGTCAACAATGTCTGGGCAGCGGGGAACGAGCTTGTGAGCATGCGCAGACCATTACAGCATGGACATTGTTAAGGATCACAAGGAATCCAAGATGATTTAAAGTACATGGGAGGCTGTGCGTAGGATCCGTGCAAATACCACACCATTTTATATAAGGGATTGGAGCAGCTGCAGATTTTGGCATCCAAGGGGGGGGTCTTGGAACAAATCCCCCATGGAGACTGAGGGGGTATCTATGGAAAGCTGACGCTGTTCAATGAGGAGTGGGTTCTGGGTGGTGAGATAAGCCATGACTTCTGTTGTATGTCTGGGGAGAGGAGAGATGCATTGAGATCCACGTAGGAGAAAGCTGCCACCCGCCTCCAGACGTGGAAGCCAGTCAGAAAGGCAAGCGAAGGTGAGAGCAGGGGCAATGGTTGGAGGGCAACAGGAGGAGCCAGGCTGAGCCAGCGGCTGCCACTAAGGGCGATTCCCTAGGTAAGTCCTAAGTGCTGAGCTCAAGAGACCAAATGTACTATCCTCGGCCTGTTTGGTTGCTTAGCCCAGGAACCCCATCCTCTTACAGATCAGCCTGTGGTGGGGTCTCCATTGAGCGAGCCTGCTAAACCCTGGAACCGGAGTCTCTGAAGCAGCAAACCCCAACTTTTGCTTCCAGAACCCGCCCTCCCTCCCCATCAGCCTCCGGAAGCGCAGCCAACTGTAGGGATCCACCATCTTGCAGTGCTGAGGCTGCTGTGTGCTTCTAGGCTGTGCGCTTCACCTGGCTGACATGAATGTCCCGATCCTAATATAAAGTGGGGGGTAGTGACATTTAAGCTCACAGAGGAGGCTCCGTAGGGGGAATTCAATCAGATAATGATTGTGAATAACTCAGCCCCGTGAGAGGCTCGGTAAATGAACATCCCTTCGTCTTTAGCCCTGTAAGTTTCTCCCCGGCTTTGTCTTTCCAAGACCTCTCCAGCCCCTGGATTTGGTTGCCAAATCAAAGTGGGTTTGGTTCTGCTTTGTTTTTCTGCGCAAGAGAAACAAACGGAGCTGGAGTAGCACCAAGCAGCCATTTTTAGATGAGTGGGTGGAAAATTCCTCCCATAGTTGGGCCCAGAGGCTGAACGCTTAGTGCATTTTGGACTTCCTGCGGTCCCCGTACCTTTTGGGAGGGCACACAAGACCCCAGGGCCCTGTGTGCTGAAGGGGAAGGAGGAAGCCAGAAGGTGGGCAAGCAGCAGAAAGCCCACCCCTGTTTTCCTCTAAGCTTTCGATCTTTTTCTTTCTCGTTCCAACTCAGACAAACTCAGGAAAATTACAAGGCACAGTCCTTGGGCCTCAAGGATCACACTGCCCCAAGCCCCAGGAGAGTCTCAAGCCTTGCCCCCATGTTGGGGGACGGGGGCAGAGAGAACCACGACTTCCTAAACATTGCTTTAGGACATCTTGCACCTCCCCACTGTCGGGAGCAAGGGACCATCCTTCACTGAGAAGGAAAGAGAGTCTCGGCCACTCCGTCGAAAAGGGGCAGAGGATTAATGATACTGAACCCCATGTCCACTTGCCCAAAGCCCGTGACTGTCTCCTCCAGGGAACTTGTGAGACTGGGTATGTCGGGAGCAGAGACCGGCCACCACTCCCCCTTCCCGGCTCCGGGCTTCCCCTTCCATCTGGCTGGCAAGCTGTGTGCGTCTGATTCCGCTCTTGGAGCTTCCTCTTCATTAGGTTAGCACTTGGTGCGCTGCGTGTTTGCCCATTGCTTGCAGGCGCCTCTTCCCCCTCTCGCTGCCTTCTAATCACACAGCCCAGATTTGCAGAGCGGGACTTGTCACCTCTGCGTGGAGTGTGTGCATCCGACAATGACCAGCGAGGACACCTCTCACCTGCACCTTTGCCTGCCTGCCACAGTGCTGTGGGTCCTCTCTATAGGTTTGATAAATGAATCGTGCATGGAAGAAGCCTACCCAGCACCATCACCGGTGCAGAGGGCTAGCTCGGTGGCTTTCCTCCCGCAGTATCTGCTCCCAAGAGGAGTGTTTCAGAAATGTGGTCTCAGATCCTGGGCTCCACCAGGAGGAAGTGAGGGGTCTCTTGATCTTGCCGTGTAACCTTGGGAAAGTCTCTTCTGCTTTCTGGGTGTCTGTTTCTTCACCTGTACATGGCAGAGACTTGGTAATGGCCAGAAAGGTGCTTTTCTATTCCTAACTGATTAATGCACATCTCATTGTCCCTTCATTCCCAACACACACACACACACACACACACACACACTTGTCAATCTTCAAAATGGTATCTGGCCACTGTCTGGCTCTCTCTCTCTTCCCCACCTCTCTCTCTCATT